TTGGAAAGCAACGCCAATTAGAGAACTATTTCATGCCATATTGTGACCCCGCCGGCAAATATTTACCAAATGTTTGTTTTTACCACCCAAACGCCAGCCAGAGAAGGAAAACATACAATAAATGGCAAATATTTATGAAATGAAAATCCTCGACCCTGCTAGAAGGGTCAACCGGGTGAAATTGGAAAAAGTTGACTACCGCACAAAATGGCGCCGTTGGCGAATGAAAAAAGGAGTAGAGTCGAGCAGAAATATTGACAGGCCAAATGAATTGGCCACATGGTGAGCCACGTTCCAAATAGAGGGCGGTGCAACTACTGTGTCTGCGGCAATATAAAGCACAACACGTTTGACAATTATACATTGGTTACATTTCGTGGCATATTTGTGCAGTTTGCGCAAACAACAAAAGCGCAAAAAAGATGGAGGCAAAAAGTAAACAGAAATTGCCGCAAAAAGTCAGGCGCTGGAGTGCAATATGTGGTTATTACATTGGTTGTGGGCGTGGCAGGAGGACTCTTTGCCAGACAGAGCAAAAAAAAAAAAACAAAAACTAAGGGAAGAATGCTGCATGGCCAAAGCATTTTAGCGTGACAATCAATTGATTTCCCAGGCGGTTGACGAGAAATGATATATTTTGCTATATTTGACGTGAAATATTTCTTTCCTTTTTACGGTCCTCAGCTGCTGTCGACTAGTGACATTTCTTCTTGTTTTTATCGATAATAAAGGGTTTAATTGCACGGAAAGCTGCTTTATATTTCAGGATCCTTTAAAACTGTGGACTTGGTCAACGTACTTTTTAAGAATATAATGTACATTCAATTTTGGGTCATTTAAATAAATGTTAACTGAAAACTCAAAGGATTTAATTAATTCGGTAATTTCGGTGAATGTAAATCCAATTATCAAAACACTAATAAATTATTGACAGTGATTTGTGGAGGTCCTATTTTTCACGTTTGAACAACGAAGCCCAAACAAAATTAATCATAGGTATTTTTTAATAAATTTTTACAGTTTATTTCTCTCTACTCGCCCTGCAAAAGACCCAGTTTGATTAAAAATTTAAAAGTAATGTTGCATACTCCGGGGCCGTAATGAATTTTTCAGTTCAGGGGTTCAGTTCTCGGCTAACGACAAGTCAGCTTTTGCACAATATTTACAAAATTGCCAAAAAATTGTTTTATTAGCTTTTGTTAGTTACTTGCCCCGTAATCTCTGTTGCTAAATCAAAATTTCCATAGATAATATTTCTCCTGGTGTCAAGCGAGGAGGCAAGTTCGTAAAGTGTGCACATAAATCACAGGACACTCTACTCCACTCCACACAAAAGCTCGCACATGCATCACACACACTGCGTATGAGTGATTTATTAAACTATTTTGTGCCAAAGTGAAGAGGAGTTGGGCATCTAAATTGATTTCATTGTGTGTCCTGGCCTGCATAATAAACCAAACACAAACACAAACAAAAACACAAACTGCAACGAAAATTTTTAGCTCCTACAAGGACATTTTTCAGCTTCTACTTGAAGCGGTTAAGCAGCCAGCAAAGGACATCGACCAAGGAGCAGCAGCTGTGTCCGAGTGGTCATAAGGGGTTAAATGAGTTGCCTCTCCGGTTCTCGCTTCAATATCGACCACATGTGGTTAAGTTATGGCCAGAGCTGACTGCCCTTTAACCGTTTTGTGCTATTTTTCCAACGCTTTTTCCCGGAAATCAATGAAACATATTTCAAAGCGTTAAGCAATTGCTTTTTAGCGTCCATTCAGCATGCCACTGTGGACTGCCAATTCCACAATTTTGCCCATTTTAAGTGGACGGGTCTCCAATTCGATTGGATTCTCTGGAGCGTGTCCCGCATGGGGATTCATTCATTTTGCTATTCCCCGCTCTTGTCGAGTTAACTCCATAAAATTCAGAGTCTCGCATTATTCGGCAAATGAGCCAGAAGCAGTTCTGCGGCTTTGTCTCCCATTGACCAACCCTTTTCATTAGCATGGCAGGCCGACATTCCACATCTGATTGGGTTTGTGGGTGATTGCCAAGGAATTTCGGCGTGACATTGATGTTGATGGGCGCCATGCATCATTCCGAGCTCGACGAAAAGCGGGGGGGAGGTTGGTGGTGGAATAGGTGGGGTAGGTGCCTCCCAGTTTGATTGAAGACCCTTGCAAAGCATTGCACTGCGGTTTGCCTAAGCCAGCACCAATCAAACTTCATTAAGGTTGAATGCCTGATTGCAAATCCTGACTGGGGGAATTCGCTAAAGTTGGAGTCCATAACTCTATTTTCCTGTTACAATTTCTACCTTATGCGCACTTTTTGGACTTTAATTTCATTAACAGTTTCCGGGGACCAAAAATGACAAAGTCAATAATAAAACTAAAGGAATGAGATGACGAAGAAACTTTGAAAAAATTAACTTTGCCTAATAATTGTGGATATAAAATACAAGGCTTTGCTTACTTTTTTAATCCTAGTATGTAAAATATATCCTTATGATATTATATATTCCACTATTGGGACTACAAAGGCACACAAAATGTACAGCAGAATATTTATGTAAGAGTGTTACATTTTCGCCTTCTGTCAGCGGTTTATTTAATTTCTTCTGGCCACGTACACTGTGGCATTTACGTAGCCAACGGAAAAATGCAATGGCTGGCAAAAACCTTCTCTGCTCTCTGCTATGTAAATGAAATTTCCTCGGAGAAACTTTTTATTCAATTAATAGAATTTCTTCCTGTGGTCAATTAACCACGTTGGCCACCATGATGTGGTTGAAAGTGGAGGGGAGTTTCGGTTTCTAGTCTGGCTAAAGTTTGCCTCAGCTATTTGGCGACTTCATTTAACGTGGCCCAACCATGCTTTCATAAAACGCTATCAAAGTTTGCCCATCCACCCCGCACCTTTATTTTTCCCTGTTTTGCATCCTTGTAATTGTTTAAAGTTACATTTACTTAAAGTTTTTTTATACTCCAGCGTTGCAACTTTCCGACTTTTTCTTGCTGGCAAACTTTCTTCTTTCATTTCTATTTTAATTTTTTCCTGTATTTCACCTTTTTTAATACTTTCGCCACCCTTTTAGTTTTTTCATATTGTTAATGTTGTTCAAGTTCCTCCTATCAGTTTTTTTCGTTTGGCTACAAAACGGAAAAAAATTAAAAATACATTTTCGTGTTTGGGTAAAAGTATCGTCAAAATAGTTTACCAACTTTTACGGAAAGGTTTTTTTCCAGTCGCTATTTAACGTATTTTTATGCCCATCAAAAAAAAAAGGAGCATTTAATAAAAACTGGTAAGCACTTTCATGAAGTGTGCATTTTTTTTTGGGTGTCGAGTGGCATTGAGAGACTATTTTCACAGCCATTTCCGCTTCTGATTCAACTGGTAGGGAGTTAACTGGGCCAGAAACCTGTTGTCCAAATCGAATTTGTTAAGGGTAATTTAAAATGGCCCTCTTCAGAGGCAAATTTGCTATTAAACTATGCAATTTTCATTTTAAAATTTTAAAACCTTTCGCACAAAGACAACAATTTTTGGAATTTATTTGATTTAAGTGGTTTTCATAACGACGCCGCAGACACCATAAAACGTATACCTATATATATAAGTTTAGAGTGAGTATTGATCCATCAACTGATTCAACATTTTGTTTTGATTAGATCTGTCGGAAAAATGGCAAACATAAAATTTTACCATAAAGTTTGACCCAATAAAATGTGAAAGCGCTCCCCAATGTGAAATTCGTGTGTGGAACAACAATTGACAAAATATGAAATTTTTAAGGCTTAATCCAGGATTTAGAATAGAGTTTAGGGTAAAAAAAGAATAGCTATTGTTTACTGATTTATTACTGCTCATGATTTATTATGACTATGCTTCGCTCTGGAAAAAAAACTGTTTAGTGCTTTAAAAATATTCAGCAAAGTTAAACTCTTATCTAGTTTCGTTTAAGTCAATGAACTGATTTAAATAAGGGGTTTATGAATGCAAAGTCCAGCAAAATGCTGTTAAGCTAACTAACCTTAAAGACTGACTGTCCAAGGTAAACTAAAGGTTTTTTCTTTCTTTTAGATATAGTTACTATTTTGTTTTTGTTTTTTTAAGTACCAGGATTTCTTGATTTTTATGACTATTGCTCTTTGTTTGTCCTTTTTTTGTGATATTGTTTTTCCGATGCTTGTTCACTCAGTCGCATTGATTTTCGCTTGGCTGAAACTAGTACGAGTGTGCTACACACACGTATACACACAACCACCTTAAACCAGACGAGTATCGCATACAATATGTGCACTTTATGCGCTTTGGTATTTTATACATTTTGTGCCCGCTCAACGAGTTGTTTTTGCTTCGAAATGGGGATTGGTGTGCCCCATGTTGTAGCCATTGTTTGCACAGTCTGTGACATTTTTATGCGATCAAACATTGTTGCATCAAATTTACGGTGCGTATGAGTAACGACGGCAGCATCAGACATTGGGCATTGGGAGTAGCCGCCTTTCATGCCGTTGCGGTGGAATATATTATGTTGTTGTTCTCCGACAGACTGAAACCCAAACGACAGGCGTCATAAAAAACACACTTGCATTTATTAGCCCGAAAAAATGCGAAACAAAAAACAAAAAGCATTCCGGTTTGTTTAGCCGAAGAGGGAGTAACTTTTTGTTGCGGCGAAATGTAATTCAATGAAAAATTTCCACATCGGAAAATGTGTCAGGAATGCGAGATAAATTGTGAGTTCAAGCAAGTAGTTTTTCCATAAGTTAAACTTTTTGTGAAAACAAACTAAATTCGATTCCCTCTTGAAAATCCAATTCCCATTTTAGCACCAAAGAAAGAACACTTAACGAGCAGTTGTAAAAAGCAAATTGCAGAACAGGGAAAATTACGCGCAGTTCGAGTTCAACTTTCCATAAGGCCCACTCAAATTATGAAAATGAAAATGTCACCGAGGAGGAAATGAGAGGCAAAAGTTGCGAATCTCGACTTACCGTCATGTACTCATCCAGGCGGTGCTTCCAATTGTCGGATCTATCGATTAGATTGTTCCACTGCTCGGAAAGTTTTCCCACCTCCCGCCGGATGCTGCGTGTTAGCTCACGGCTCTGTTCCTCGGCGGACATGTAACGCGAGTCGGAATCATGGTTGGCTAAAATAAAAGGAAAGAATATAAGGTAAGAAGCGGGAGGTTATGATAAGGAAACGCTGGAAAATTTATGAAAATCAAGTCAAAGACAAAGTTCTGACAAAAAAGACAATTGCGCTGCCATTAAATTGAGGAGTTTCCCCTCGGATTTTCCCCCTGTTCTCGCTCTGTTTTCCCTCTGAAAGCTCCTGGCACGTACGTGAGTTTATGAATTAGAGATGATGATTATGGCTCTTAGTATCTGCCCTGTTCGATGATTGTGCTTTTTGCCTTTCTGGCCGCTTTGATTATGCTGATTGCAGGCAGTGATTAAATTTGCAATAAAATAATCTCTCGGACAGGTTGGCTCTTGGGAATGCCAGCTGAAAGTTGAGTGAAAACAATGGGAAGTCCGAATTTCAATCGGCTGGGGAATCAATTAGCCGGACGTCGAGTTAAAGGCAAAACTTTGAGGATAAATTCAATAAATATCGATGTCTTTAAGCCATCGATTAGCTTCGATGAGACCGCAAAACCAGAAAGAGCAGCTCAACTTTAGCCATTTCCTTCCACAACAATGAAAGATGAAAGCCAGTCGACAGAGGGAAAATCGAAAAGGAAAAGTGTCAGGAAATTTGAAAGACAAACTGACGCGCTCTTGTGGCGAAGGGAAATGCAATAGGAGATCTAAAGTCGGACGGATGGACGGACCAACTGACTGACAGCCGAGTGGCAGCTGCTGCTTCTTTCGCTGCTTCTGCTGCTGCTGCTGCTGTAGATATAAGCCAACACAGTCGCACACAAAAAAGTGAGGCAACAAGACGAACTCAAAGTTGGCTAAATCCGAATTTAATTTAATGCACGGACGGCGACAGCGAGCAACTTTTATGGCCAAAGGAGAGGTTGGACAGCTGGAAATGTGATGCTAAGCAAATATCGAGCAGCGGAATACTTTTCCCTGTCCCCATCGAAGTTTCGTTGAAATATTCAAATTCAATTTAAAAATTGAGTTTATCGCTTTGGATGTTTTCTGCTTTTTGCTCGCTTCACTGCCGCCGCACAACGAAACTTTTCGTTTTCAATTTTGAGTTTCTTAAAAAATTGGTCGATAAAAGTTGATTTAAATAAATATTGGTGAGTATTGGAGGAATAATAATCTTTTTAAATTTTCAATCCTTGATATCTTTAGAACTTAAAGCCAAGCTTATTAATTTGTAGAGACCATAAAAGAATTGGCGTGGAATTTGTCAACTATATTAACTTGTTTTTCCACAAAAATTGAATCTAAAAATTGTATATCTTATAAAGATTAAAGATTTCAGAACTTGTAGAATTTTCTGCTTCAATATTTTTCACAAAAAATGTATTCGGACTTTAGAATGGACAAAATTTATCTGTTTAATTTTTAATTTCAATGACTAATGATCATTTAATTTAATATTTAATTTGCCACGGTTATTTGGCACACTCGTGAAATTCGACTGGCTGGCCACAAAATAAACATCGGAACGGCTAAAATCAAAAGCCAAAAGCGGACGGTGTTGAGGGGACTCGGCCAAATCTCTCCCACAGCTGATGGCTGGCACTAATAGCGTACTAATCGCTCTAATTGCTCTGGTCGCAATTATCGTTGACGCCTCCCTCGCCCCTCCCTTCCACCCACAATGATGCCACAAAAAATCGAAAACAAGTCCCCAGTCAGGCAGTAACCTCTTCCACCGAGCTAAGCCCACACAGCCATTTGCTAAATTGTTAACTACAGTCTAAAAAAGGAAACTACGATGGGAACTAAAACCAGATCTGAGGTTTGAGGGACGCACGGATACGTGTGGTGGTGCAAAATCAATTGGCAATTCTCCGGTTGCCCGACAACAGTTGTCTACTTTTAGGCGCTCACGTCCCGAAGTACTATCCTTGGATTTGGATTTGGGTGCGTGTGAGTGTGGTTTTTGAGCTTCCTAAGCTTTTGTAAAATAGTTAAAGCAAATTCTTACATGTTAGTTTTTCGTTGATTCGTGAGGGATACTCCATAGAATGTTCAATCAATAGGGCAATGCTTTGGGGGTTTTGGGGCGGAAAAGAAGAGGGGTAAAAAGAAAAATGTTCCTGCCAAACTTAATATGGAACAAGTTGGCAGAATATAGAATTCATGGTGCCTTTACATAATTTGTTGAGTGGTTATGCAAAAAGATATATCGAAAACAAATATCTCACTAAAATGTGATAAGTGTACAAGATTAAAAGGCATACCATTAAATAAGAGTAATAATAAACGTAACATATGTAACAAAACAATTTTTAAAGTTCATTGGAGATTAATTTTCCTTCGATACGTATTCCCTTTTAATACATTGTGACTTAAAATCAAAAGCTAGACTAACCACGACAATTATTTTAAGAAAACACAAAGCAATATAAACATTTTTTAGTTCACTTATCATTTCTCATTTTTCCCCCTCCAATGACGAAACCCTTTTTAAATAACGTGTCAACGCACCCCATAACTATCGCATTACTTTGAGATTGTCTATTATTTTCCGCGCTGTTTATAGATCATGATTTGCCACGGACCCCCAGAAATCCAATTTTAGTTTTGCACCAGAAGGGCACTTGACGAGATTCGTGGGGAACCTTTTTGTGGTCCCCGTAACGGGCAGTTTAGTGGGCGACTTTTTAGTGTGTCGATGGTCATAAAACTTACCCTCCGTATCGCTGGTATCCGAGACGGCTGCTTCGTTGGCAATGTACTGTCGACCGCTCGTTAAATTGCTCTCGACAATTGGCCGCTTATCCTCCAATTGGCGGCGAAAGGCTTTATGATCGTCCTGCAAGTGGAAGAGCAGAAATGCAATACATGAATGAAACTCCACTAAAATAAATATGTATAAAGTTTATTTGGGTTTTCGGGTATTTTTGCTGGCCCTAAAAAATATAGCTGAAGTGGTCAAGGCCCATAAACTATCAAGGGAATGGCATCCTCTGCAGTTCGGGGCTATAAATTCTCGTGTTTAATGCATTTAGTTGGGGAATAACAAAATGCAACAATATAAAACTCCGGACAGAGGTCCAGACCTCGACTCTTGGCTGAAATACCCTTGGTCCGCTGGCAAATAAAATCTTCAAGCCGAAATGTAAATGTTCGGCAGACCGTAACTTAGTGGCAGGCAATAGATTTATACAGTGCCTCCTGCTGATGCCTCCCTTTTCCACCCACTCCATCCTTTCTCTCTCTGCAGGGTGAAAGTTGACTCATTTTTTCCAGCTGCTTCTCCGCTTTCTTGTTCCTCGGAGCTGGGGCTCTAAGTGGGGGCAAGTGAAATTCAAGTGCCTCATGCTGTGTTAGACAGTGTTTCCCCATTCGGAGAGTGGCCTGCTTGGCTCCTGCCTTCCGCTTTTTTCCCTGGCTTCCTGCTTCCCTTTGCATTCAGGTCCCTAAGTGATTTCCCCCCATGCGAGGAAGGATGTGTGGAAGTGTGCGAGTGTGTCCATGTTTTTGACATAACAAGCATCATTTAACAATTATTTAAGAAATCCAAACCCAATTGTGGGCGAGGTCGAATACGCAATTCGGTCAAGTTGAATCCACTTGAATCGGGGTCCTTTGGCCATTTGGCCAAAAGTTCCAACTAAACTCAGGTTTTTATTGCGGGCCATTAAATACATTGATGCGGAACTTAAACCTATAGAATTCGACAACAAAAAACATTTTCCAGCGAATTCTAGGTTTTATTATGCACTGCTTATTTTTCGCTTCACCAAAAACTCCAAACTAAACTACTATTTAAGCTACATATGTACACATATTTATCCAGAAATTCGATGAGTTATTTAATAAACCTGCTTTCGATATTTGCAGTCAAGTGATAGTAGTTCTATGGAAATCCACAAATCAATCACGTTATTTATAGGACAAACAATGCATTAGATATGTTTTGGTGTTATATACTATGGTAATGCTTTTGGCAGCAAACAATTGTTCATCGCAAATTACAAAATTTGAAATACATTTGTGTATATTGCCAAATGATTGAAGAGAATCATGGCACAAATCAAATTCCCATTACTGGATAAATATGAATGTAACATGCATATTCACTGGATTAAGTGTAATTTAAGTATTTTCCGCTTATTATTTAATTATGAGTCGGGAAAATTTAGGCACAAAAATGCAAAGTGGCAGCTAGCCAAGTCATCATCTAGCCAAGCATCGTTAAACCCAGGACCTGAAAACGGGTCAAGAGATCACGCAGGCCAAAAACTTCCACACAATTAGTTGGCCAAACAAATTGAGGTGCAGCCCCCGGGGAGCTTCAGCACAAAAAGTAGTATAAAATTGGGTCGTTGACAAAAAAGGAGAAAACGAAAAAAGGTTTCGAGGCCCAAAGCCAGGACTTACCAATTGTTTCTGCAGACTAGCGGCATCACCTCGAACAGGACCCAGGCCCAAAGTGCTCAGTTCGGTGTCCTTGCGGATAACCCACTCGGTTAATTCGCGGAGCGAAAGGAGCAGGGCATTCCAGTGCTCTGAATTGGACTCCAGGCGATTCCTGCGGGAAAATAAAGGAAGATATCTTTTAAAGTGTGTTCTTAACTGGGTAACGAAAATCAATGTACGAACTTTCTAAAATTAAAAAATAATCCCTCGCCACGAATTAAGTTCTATGAAAGACTCAATTCATTAACAGAAATATTTTTAATGTGATACTTAAATATTATAAACAAACGAACCGAAATAACTGTTCTCATTTAATAAAATTACAACCAATGTATTTCAAGATAATTATTTATATTAATTTAATAAGAAGTTTAGAAGTATTTTCTTTTACTTTTCTCCCAGTGCCCCCGAAAAAGTCCCGTAATAATGTTAAATTTAATTTGCACTTTAGAGCAGATGAGGAAGCATCTGTGCTGATTGCACCCACAAAATGTCAGCGACAATTTGTCTATTTCCTCGAGTTTCCGCCCTTCCGCCTTTCGACGTTTCTCGTCTCTTCCGTGTCCTGTTCCTTGTGCCCCACAAATTTCCTCCTTAAGTGAGGTCTATTAAAGTGTCCTGTTTTGGCATTTGGCCGAGGGCCCAGGCACAGACACAAATGAGACTGGTCTATGCTAAATTTCAGCTGTCGCTGTAATTGTGAAATGCCATGACATTTTATTCACATTTTATTTCGTCGTGGCATATTTGGACCATTGTGTTGTTGCCGAGAATGGGGAAAAAAACAACACAGGGAAAAATCTGAAAAATCTCCGGCCACAGCGACCCCGTAATAACAATAGTCACTGCCTCATTGTCATCTCATTTCTCCCATCTTTCTCTAGTTTTTACTCGCGATTCTCTCCTTCTCTGTTTGGAGTTTCCGGTCCTGAGCTTTTGTCTGTTTATCTTTGGCGAATTCCTTTGGCGTGCTCATTTCATTCTTTTATCATTTCTGCTCCGGTTTTGCTTATAATTAAGGCTTGGCTCTAGCACCTCTCGTCTTCGTCTGAAGGAGAACGCTTCTTTTCTTGGCTTTCCCCCGCCAGTTTCCGCACACTTTCGCTTTTGCTCATGCAAATAATAAAAGGAAATAACTTGAGACGGACAAAACTTGGGGTTTTTTCCTCAAATTTCAGCCTCTTTGTTGTTTTCTCACTTTGGATTTCATTTCTGACTACGTTTCAGACAATTATTGACGTGGGACGGACAAATTGCTTGGGAAATTGATATGGGTGAAAGTTATTAGAGTGATGCCAGGAGAATTGACATGACAGGAGAGCTTTTAATGATCAATCAAAAAAAATCTTAAATGTGTTTGACTCGCACAAAATGTATTTTAAAGCTTTTCGATTCTCTTATTTATTTCTTCAGTTCATTTGATTTGTTTGTTGAGTTTTATATAAACAACATATACATTTACTAAAAAAGTTTAAGTGCACATAACACGATAAAATTTCCCTAAAGAGTTATATTGATTTATTATTATCATTGTTCTGCTCGTTTACGTTCAATCCGAACGTTTTTCATACCCATTTTGATGGATCACACTCATTCCCTTATATCCATCAATTCTGCGTCAATCTGGTCACGCAAAAACCTCGATTAAATCATTTTTTAACCCGCCAAAACGAACTTAAAGAGAAAACGAATTTGCAGGAAAGATACGGGTTCATCAATCTTCTCCTGTTCGGGATTTGTGGGTATTCTCAATCAGCAAAAATGTGAAGGGGGAATAAACCAGATCCGGAACACCTGTAGAGATGCCGCACGCAAAAAGTTTGCACAGTTCAAAGAGCCAGCGAAACTTTGCACATAAAATGACCCAAAGCCAAAAAGTGCCGCGGCTAATACAAACGAACAGCGAACAATGGCCAAAACCAAATAAAGAAGGAGGGCGACGAAGAGGGATTGGGAAATGCCGGCTTCGGTGAAACTTTTCAAGTGCTGTCCAAAATATTTCACAGGAATTTATAAGCCAACAAATCCTTAGCGCAAACAACGAGTCCAGACAGCGGGGGAGGAAGCCAAGGCAAACAACAAAGGAAGTGGCTCAAGTTTGGCCCACGGAAACGAACCAGAACGTCGGAATAATGAGGGCTAACAGTCGGAGAGATTGGGGCGGGGTAAAGTGGCCACTTTTGAGGTGTCATTCGTCATCTTGTTCGCTACCTCTAATTGAAAAACGTTTGAGCAACATGCTAAGCAGAGGTTATCAAGAAAGAAAATCAGAGGTTGTTGAACAGAGAAGTACCCTCTATTAAAATTATAATTCTTTAACGGAACACTTTCTTTGTTTTGCTTTACTATATTATCATAGGTTTAATATTATGGTAATATTAAGTTTTATTACTTTAACAAAAATATATAGATAAGGATTTAATTCCTTCTTAATGCTCCGATAAGCTCTCTGCTATCGACAGAACTAATTTATCGATTGCGGCAAGCCGTGTCTGCCTGCAATTAACGAGTCAAAATTAACGTTGCCTACTGTTTCGGGCACGCCGACAAGTATACGACACGTTGGCTTGGTCATTCGATAATTGCCATTTATATTCATTATGCGGTCGCTCTGGCTCCTCGTTTGGCGCATTTCAGTGTGTCACCACCATCATCATTATTCATTTTGGCCCAGTTTTGCCGCTCCTTTTGTAAACATGCAGCCCGACTTTCATCATCGGGCAGCATCAATATCAACAAGCGACCAATATTTGTGCGCTCGAGCCAAGCTTTTATTTATGAAACGGGGAAATTACAAACACAAAAAGCCGAAACAAAAAGCGACAGCAGGAGCGAAGGACACTGGGGCAGTGTTTGCACACGATTCCATCAATGACACAGTGTCCATGGACCGAAGGCAGGGTCCTTCACTCGCCATCTCCATCACTTTTCACGCGTTTCGTTTTTAATATTGATTTTCGTTCGGCTCGCGGCTTTGTCGGCCGTAAAGGACCCTCACTTGCCATCTCCCCGCTGACTGACTGCTCGCTTTTCCGGCCGTTGTTTTCCCCATTTTCATCGGCACAAAGTTGCTTAACCCGTGGCATCGGAGACGGCGGGTATGGCTTGTTTTCAACTTGTTAAACATTGTCTCTGCATTGCTCTTTTTGTGCGCAGCTTAACGCGGTTTAATTAACACTTAAAGCGGTTGAGGGATAAGTCTTGTGCTCGTTTGCTCGCGGCTTGCAATCTGACTTAGATTCGGCATTCATTCATCATACGCCCTGCTGGCGGTTTAACAACTCCCCGGGGCAATTTGCAAACTCCCCGACGGCCAACTCTCAACTTCATGCCCATTTAAACACTGAAGCCAAAAAACTGCATGGAGCTACTTTAATTCTATTCAGCGGGTTTTCAAGCATCCTTTAACCGCATGACCCTGCCCCTTCTGCACCGTTCTGAACCCACGAACATAAACATGGCAGACCGACCGACAACAAAAAAGCTGAACCAACCGACAGAAATGTTTTCGCCCCCACTACGGCCAAACAATTCAGGAGTAACAGGAAGCAAAAAAAATATATATCGAGGTTGGCTATAGGAAAACAAGAAGTCAAAAGCACTTACCTGATTGCAATACTTTTCGATTTTAAATTATTCCAACGTTGATTCATTTCATCGAGGCGACGCTGCAGCATAACCGCATCCTCTTGCGAGGTGAGCGAACCCAGAAGTTTGCGGCCTGTTCCATCGAGACGATCGTAAACCACGCGATGGGTTTCAATTTCCGATTGCAGGTCCTGGAAAAGTCAGAAAAAAAGTGGAGCATGAGAACCAGTTGCCCAGGCAGGAAATGCTAATAAATGTGTGGGTTCCCATTCAAAAAAACATCAAACTAAATAGACTTAAAAGGCACAATGTGTTTTTAAAGTGGATTATTTTAGAGAAAAACAGGGAAGCAAAAAAACACGGAGTGAGAGCCTTCCACCTTGCCAATTATTAACCGCATCTGTCCCACTTGTTATTTTTACCCCACCTTGTCATATTTTCTCTGGTTTTTTCACATTTTCCCTCAGCTCTTCAGAAGCTGTCGCATGTCAGGTGTTGTTTTGGTCCCATGAACAAAAAAAGGGCTTAAATGTTAGCCGTTCTGGTTTCTAGTTTTTGTTTCGGTTGCGAACTTAATTTTGCTGCTAAACTTTTTGTATGGTTTGGTTTTATTTACAAACACACATACGCTTAAGGAATTAGTATTTTTTATCCCCATTGATACCCGAATTGAATCCTTAATTCTTCCAAACTTTCACATTCCTGCCTCTTCTTTACTTCCTGTCCAACTAAAACGTTTCTTTAATTGTATTTCAACTAATTTAATCAATCAATCAATCACTCACGAAATATACCAAATAAACCAATTAAAATTGGAATTAGGCGAGGGCACAGGGCACATAAAGTAATTGAAATGGTATTCGTAGACTCCATCCTGCGCTGCCATTTCCACATTTTCCCCTTTCCCAATTTCTGCGAGGGTGTGTGGGTGAGTGAGTGAGTGTCTCTGCGTGTGTGTTTGCTAATTAAACCTTCATTAGGACGCTCGTTGCCTTTGTTGCAGTAAACAAAAACAAGAAAACAGAAAAGGCAAGAAATCCCAGCTAGCGAAAGGACGCAAAATTCCTCGCTCGTTTAAGTGTGTGTGATTGTGTGTGTGAGTGGGTGTGCGAAATGAAGCTCCAATTAATTTGGCTTATGCATGTCACAAACACGCACGCATGCACGCACACACACACACAAACAGGGCGATTCAATTAATGCGCAAAAATTGTTAATACGTCAATAGAGCGGAAATGGGGCAAAAAAAAAAAAAAGAAAATCAACAGGAAGAAAGGGGCAAAACAACACGAGGTATTTTTAATGAGCAGCAAGTGACGGATTTAAGAGGCAAAATGGAGAAGTGGGAGGAGGAGGAGGGGGTATCGCGACACATGCGCCAAAGCCGATTAAATCAATTAAAATGAGAAAATGCCGGCAGCGATGGGAAAAGCGACAGCAAAGCGGCAGTTTCCAGCACGAGTCATCGCATTCCCTGGTCATTATAGCGATTGCCCGTTGTGCCACGCCCCTTTTTGGCCATACCAAGCCCCACACCCAAGGCTGCCCGAACTAATGCCGCTAATTTGCGCAACGAAAGACCGCAATTTCCTGCATGAGAAGATAGCTCTCTCTTTTACCGTTCATCTCTTTGGGTTACCTCTTTATGTGCTCGTTTCTGCGGCAGTCTGTTATTTAGATGTCCCTCGCTCAAAGGACCAAAATGCACTAATTAGGCGTTGAGGTGAAAGTTAAATAACCCCTACCATCGCGGACCTAATTAAAAGTAATGGCGTATTTTAATCTTTATTTATTCCTTGTTTTCAATTATGACAATTGAACCTTTTTTTTTAGAAAAAATTGAGATCCGGAGGTCACGAGTATTGGAAACAATTAAACATGACAATCTTTGAGATTTAAATAATAATGGCTTACATATCAGAGATTCTTGTGTCTTACTCCACTATTGAGGTTAAAGGATTTAAAATTCTTTACTTAAAAACTACTGAGAATTTGGATTTGCGCATTATATTCATATAGGATATAAGGTTTTAAACAATTTAAAGGGTTACTTTCTGCTGTTGCTCTTTAAAATAGCACATGATTTATCATTTATTTTTCTTGTTTAAAATCGCATAATATGCTCTAAAATTGTTTGTCTCTTGCAAAAATAAATTTATTAGTTTATATATTTGGGGAAATCACTAAAGGGTATCAGCAGCTGTTTCATCTTCTTGGACTTATTAATGGCAAATAAAAACGCGGCCATTCTAGGAGCTTATGAGTGGGGAGGATGTTAAAATGGGGCTCTCGGACCACGACCATTAGTCCAGGCAAAAGGCTTCGTAGCTGCCGGCCAACAAATGCAGCTTATGGCTTTTATATGCCAGCAGCTATAAATACACGTATGCGGGCTTGTGTGAGTGTACAAGGGTATGAGTGTGTGAATGTGCGACTCTGCCTTCCCGACGCGCTTTTGTTGGCTCATTTTTCACATTTCCGCTGCTTGTCCTTGCCAAGTCACGACATGGCCCCAACTAATACATCTGCGGGGGCTTACGTGTATGCCACATACACACTTGTGCATGTACTGACTGCATTTTGCAGTTTAAAGCGCCAATTAAGTAAATGCCATGCTCCGCTTGGTCTGACCAAAGCTACCAGAGAAGCAGGGGAAACACGAAAGATATGGCCGGTTAAAAATGCACGCCCACTTCCCGCAGTTGAATGGCAGCTAACTAAGCTGCTCGCCGGCTTTCTCTACATAATTATGCCTTAGATGGGTTAATTTATGGCAGTGGCAGTCGTAAAAGCGTGTTGAGTGGCCTTAAAGAACCGGAAACGGCTGCTAAAGAAATCGGAAGTAAGTCGCATAATTCCCCAAAAGGTATTTAATCAAAATCGGAATTCCCTCCCGTGGCTTTCCCTGCGGTAATTCATTCGATTGAGCCACTCGAGACACTTCCCAAAATAATTTCCCCTATATAAATTCATAAGGAATTATGCGCATCATTTCCTCTGCAGACCTCGCATGAATTCGAAATCAAATTTTTTTAAAGCATCCCAAAATACCTACGGGTGTTATTTGCTTCTCCTCGCTTGGTGGATGTGTTTTGATTGTTTGTTGTCGAGCGAAAAAACCGAGTCAGGCGATGTAAATAAAATGAAAATGCGTTTATAAGACGCCTCATAAATATATTAGAGGCACATAATAAACACATCAGCAAGTGATGTCGGCCCGCCAGTGACGAATGTTCATCCTGGCCGGGTCAGAACTCCCCGTCCCTCGTCCTTCGTCCCAGGAATACAGCCGCCGGGGGAAAACCTGTCAAGTGGAGCTCACAAGGGGCGTTCGAGCATTACTGACAGCCATACAGCCATAACCCAGGTCCCATTTTCCCCAACCCCATTCGGTGGAAACAAAAATGACAACAAATTTAAACAGGGCTCGTCCTGATCCAGCTGCTGCCGTTGAAACTGCCATTGTAGCGTTTTACATATTTTAGTCAGCCCGTGTTAACATCAGTGTAAATCCTTTATGACCAAACTCTGAGCCTTCAGCACAAATTGGAGTTTTGTGAGGGGGAAAGGAAAAAGCTGGGGGACGTGGAGTTCGATTTGGCTATATCAGGCTCTTTGGCTGCTCCCCACGTTGCTTATTTATTCGATTATGTTTATTCCTTGTTATATCATCTTGAGCGATGTGTCAGAGCAAATGTTCTATAAACATTTCTTTTGCCAGTTGCGGGGGAATTCGTGAACTGTGCAGGGGTATGTAACTCAGTTTCCAGGTCAAATGGAAAACTGAAAATGCGGAAATGATGAATTAAAGGACACGTTGACAAGGGATTATTTAAACACTTTTCAAGCGGAAAGTGGAATTTATGGTAAAATAGCGTGTTTGATAAATTGGCTACCGTCGGTTTTTGAAGAAATGAACTTTATGTATTTCGTTCTTATTTTATGAGTTTGTTTATGATGTCTGTATCTTCATTTTTTTAAAGTAGTTTTCGCCCGCTGTGTTTGAGTTTGAAAATAAGTTTTTTTCCCCATTTCCTTTCACTTATCCCCTTCAAAACTTTGCTTTTGCAAGTTTCGTCTAAATATGACTAAGTTTTCAAGACGCTTAGGGGAGCCAAGCAAACAACATGGCTAGAATCGACTCAGCAATACCCACTATATTAAATAAACATTCAGTACAAGTAGCTATTTAAGAAAATAAATAAAAAAAAGACTTCCATTGCTAGGTATTCCTTTGCATTACTAAAGCAGCCATAAACGTAAGGATTTGCATATTTGTAAGCTGCTGGTTTATTTCCATAAAAATCATATACCCCTTAACTTTTACGACTGCCGAGTATAACAACTAGAAGTTCAGACATCAAATGCAGACTGCAAAATCTGAAATCAGAAATGCATAAAGCCAAAGGCTAGGGACGTCGGGCGATGCAGCGAGCAGCTGGAATATGAGCTCCAATTTATCCGCATGCAATATTAAGTTGGCTGCACTTGGCTTTGACTTATCTGCAGAGTTTACGCTGCACTGAGCAAATAGACAGGACTCGGAACTGCACACACGACTGTGTATAATCAGGTAACAAACCAGGTTAGCCAGCGGTTGCCAGGGACTCCTGGCCAAGGGGGATTCGAGGCGCAATCAATGTGGCGGCGGTTTTCCTCTCGGTCCTCCTAAGCTGCTGACAGCAAACGCCAGAAAAGCCGGGCAAAAAAAAAGAACAAAAAACCAGGGAAGCCGACTAAACCGAAACCGAAGTTAAATGCTCTGGGTTTTCCCCAGCTGCATGGCTATCTCTTCTCGACCAAACTTCTGTGGCTACTGCCAGTGGTACAGCGGATGCTCCGTTGACCATATTATTAGACACCCACATATGCAGGGGGTGGGCTTTGGGCCATCCTCCCCAGCTCCGAGCCAAATCCTTCTGCCAGTTCCCTGTGTCAGCTTTAATTCACTTCTGGACACACAGAGAGGCAAATATCCTTTTTCCTTCACCCCTTTTTTTATCATCCCGCACATTGCGCTTATAATTTTTTTGTTTCCTTCTGTAGGCGGCTCAAGTTTATGGCTTGTGGGTTTTTCCAGGTTTTTTCGTCTCATCTCCGAAGGTATTTTCCCCTTTTCCGTCTAAACTTTTTTTCGGTGACCTGCGAAACCTTCATTATTTCTGCTCCACCTTCGACTCATTGCTGCTGT